CCTGGACTAGATCAAAGATGAGCTAAGAACAAGCCTTCGATTTGGACAGAGAGGGAGCCTAGGTTCGGACCAAGGCGAAACCTGGTTCGGACTTGGGTAGGTTGGGTATAAGCCTGACCTTGGACCCAGAAGCTTCAGCTCAGACCAAAAGTGGGTCCAGACTGGAATCTATGATTAACCGATTAGGAATAAGTAAGCAAGCACCCGAAAATGTTTGAGCTAGTTTGATTATGGTTAGGCTTGGCTTGAGAGTGGGTGTTCCTAACTATTGAAATGCGGCTAGGCTGATATAGGTCTCCACATAGGTCCTGGCCTCCTGTTAAAGGATGTTCACTAGGTCCTACTATACGTGGAGTTGCTTTGAGTCAAAGGATTATGGAGGAGAGCTCACAGTTAAAGTTACACGAATCTCAACCTCCTTGCCTCTCAATGCTACATTCCTCTCACGCCGTAAACGCAGATTTTTGGAGTTTTCGAAAAATTTGTTTTTTGGTTTTCTGGGATTCCCGGTCGGTGTGTGCTAGAGTGTGTAAATAAGCATGCAAATAAAAATAAACTCAAGCACACAGGCACACAATAAGAAAGAAAACAAGTGAGCGCTTGGCACAGATCACGCTTAACAATGCGCTCTTCGAGGCAAAACTTAGTCGAGGCACAATATAGATGGAGGGGTGAGCAACCCCTAAGAGTGTATGGTCAAAGCGGTGAAACCAGGCACATTTCATACTAAGTCGAGCCTGACCCGAGTCGAGGATGACTCGAACGGGACACGGTTCAATGAAGGGGCAAGCCACCCTCAATCAGATTTTTTTTTTTTTTTAAAAAAAAATTTATCTTTTCAAGTTTGATGAAACATAGTTAATCTAAGTGTGATGAAACTAGGGAAAACAAGAATTTAGTTAAAATTAACCGCTGCTACACGAGGTTTCCTTTTGATGTTCAGGGTATCTCTGTCATGAGGAGGAATACCCTGAAAGCTCTGGTAGGTTAGGCCCTGGCTTCATCAGTTTCTTACCTTCGTGATGGTCTTTTAGCATTCCGGAGGGATCTTTCGGTCATCGTCCTCACCCTTAAGGACTCTTGTTGTTGTTGATGTTGAAATGTGCGAGATCTTATGCGTCTCTCACTCCTTGATGAGCCAATTTGTGTTGTTGATGTTTGGGATATTTTCTACTGCTCTCACTCCCTGATGAGCCAATTTGTGTTTTGATTGGATGCTGGCATTTGAGGATTTTAGGCATACCTTATTAGCCAGGCTTGTGACTATTTGGATATTGAGTGTCGGCTGAGGCGGTGATAGTGCATCAACCTGTTTTGTCGATCCATGCACCCTTTCATGAGTTTTCTCTTGAACATGGGAAGTGGCACGATAAGGATGGTTTTAACTAACTTCTGTTATTTTCAGGCTCTTTTACCCATGAACTCACGGTCATGTCCACCCTTTTCATCTGTTTTTGCTCACGATGCCCTTTTGGGGTTTTCACCATGCCTGGGTTTTTTTTTCACAAAACTCTTTTACTTATGGTTTTGTGATCGTGCCCTTCCATCATTTTTACTCATGACGTTAATTTGTAGAGGTGTACACCATGCCCATTTTTTGTGTAGCGAGGAGTACAATTGTTGGGCCTTCCTTGCATTCCTGTTTGGCACGTTCTTATTTCCTCCTTGCTCCAAGGGATGGGCTCATGTGATGGTACTTTGGACGACACTACTTGGAGCAAGTAGCCAGCGAACCAGCGATTCTGGCCTGGCTATACCACCATCTTTGTCACATTGCCACCAGGAGATGTCACCTTAGAGGGTGTTCGATACTTCTTCAAGTAATCACCCTTTTCTAAGTGTTCGATACTTATCACTTCAGGTTTGTTTTCTCTAGGTGAGTTAGGCTCTCACATTTTGTTTGAAACAGTTGTATTTTTACTTCAGGTTTGGGGGTGGGAGCATATCGCTATTCCCTGCCCTCCTTCGGGACAATTGGTGCCCCCAGTTCCTGACCATCCACTGCTGGGCCTTTCGAATGTGGGAGATGGATGAGGCTCTTTCGAGGTTGTTTTATTTTCTCTTCTTAGACACTGTGTATGGGAGGTGAGTCACAATCCAGTAAAATTTCATTGCTTTTTTTAGAGTCTATATTAAACAGGAATTCTGACTTTACTGTCTGTTTTTTTTAGTAGATTGAGTGGGTGCCCATGAGAGCTGATCTTGTCCCCTTGGTCTATGCAGAGTTTTCGAGGACCTTCCAAACTATAGTCACTTGATCTATATGGACATCATAGGGGCTTACTATCCTGGGTGAGTCCTTTTGTTACTTTGCCCCGCCACAGTCCTTCAAAGTCACACTTAATTAGCTGCTTGTGAGGGTTAGCACAGTCGATCGAAAGTCATACTTGAGAGATATGGACCCCTGGATCGAGGAGTGGAGAGATAGGGCTGCTAGAGTTATCGGGGAGGAGGAGGAGGAGGGTAACCCGTTGCCCATGTATGAAGAGAGATACAGGGCTGCACTAAGGGTGTTTGCCACCTTGTCGGACCATGGAGAGGAGGTGGCTCGATAGCTTGGGATTGCCTGGTCATCAGAGGGGGGCAGATCAATCTTCATGTGAGGAGAGTGTTCTCTTAAGAACTCGTTATGAGGAAGTAGTTCGTGCCCATAGATCTTCGGAGGTCGAGCACGAGGAGGCATTACATTTGAGATTTTCAGCATTAGGGGACCTTGAGCCCCTGCTTTGGGAGCTTGATGAGGTGGCAAGGGAGGTAGTGATAGCTAAGCGTGACGCCCTACGCGACAAGCTAGAATGCACTAGGGTTGAGCTGGAGGGAGTCCGGAGAGCCTTGGGGGTAGAGTGTGATGCCCTCAGAGATGAACTCGAGAGGACAAGAACTGAGCTGAAGGGGGTATGCACAGCACCAGGTTCCACGTCTATTATTCCCCAACCAGACGTGCCTTCCTCTTGAGGTCCTGAGAGATATACTAAGGCTTCTCGAGACCCTCGGCTGCATTTGAGCAAATCAGGTATGTTTTATAATTTCTCTCTTTCTCTCTTCATGTTAGTCCTTTCTTGCTTTATTTTTTTCTATTTTATTAATGTGATCCTTTATTCTTGTTTTCTTTGTAGGAGATGCTTAAGCGATCGGCTCATGAGGCCTAGGAGGATGTGAAGAGTGGCTTACACAAGTCTGCAGTCTTGAGAGGGATGTTGATAGAGGCAGGCGATGACCCTTCACTTGCAGGTGTGGCCAAGTAGAAGAGGGGGCCGTATCTATCACCAGCCCCATCCCGATCTTAGTCCTTAACACCCTCGCAGATCATGGAGAGCTCCAGACAGGTGCGCCCGAGGTTAACATAGGAGGGCAAGTTGAATAGCCATGCCCCTGCAGCTATAAAGGGTCAAGGCAAGATGAGGTCGAAGATCTGATCTCCCCTCCCCTTCTTTTATTTTTTTTGTTGCTTTTTTGATGCGGAGACAAATGACACTCATCACATATATGCATTTCATCTTCTTTTACTTCCCTTCTTTTCTCATATTATGCATGATAATGGCTTTTCTACTTTCATTCATGGACGATGTGTAAAGTTGCGTGCAATTGATATATTGATATTGTGAGGGACACTCTATTTCCACACACCATTTAGACCGAGTTTCGAAACTCATGTGCCCCTTATTATTGGGTTTTTGTCCCATTATTTTGGCTAGCAGACCGTCATTGATGCAACACTCACATACGGGAAATAGGTTCGCCTAATTTTACCTCACAGATCTAGTCGAAAGAGTGAATGCTCCCAAATTAGCCAATGTCATCATTGGTGAGGCTTACCCATCTTCAATATGCGGTAGTTGAAAGTTGTACTCTTACAACCATGGAGTGCACGAGTAGTTGAGTGCCCTTATAATTGGCTAAGAAGGCTAGCTTTATAATGAGGACAGACTGACTAACAATTCCCGTCTTGTTTTAGAAAAAAGTTGTGCAAATATTATTAATTTTTTGGTAAAGAAAGATTAGAATTTCATTTTAAAATGTCACTTAAGTCCTTTTGAAAAGGTGCATGGCTTACAAATTTTTCCACTTGTGGCACCTTTGTTCGTAATTTTATTTACTTTATTTTATTGTTTTATTAAAGATGATGAAGCAACCCTGTGAGTTCACCAGGGTTTGCGAGACTAGAAACCTTCCTTGGTCTTTGGAACTCTTATCCTTTGCTTTGCAGAAGGAGTTCTCTGGGCTCTTGCTCGATGCCCTTCTTGGAGAGGGTTCCACATTGTCCCCACAATACGTCAGAGTTTCTCAGATCTCCCAAATTATGTTTCCTTCCCATATCCTCTTGAGGGGGTTTCTGTTAGGAACTTTGGGGAGTTTGTTGTTTTTTATTTTTTCTTATTTTGGTTTTTATTTTAGGAGTCGTCATCCTCGGTGTCTTTTTATGCATTCTTGTTGTGATCCCAAGTATCTGTTTTTCGAATTTTCACATGCTAGTTTTGGTCAAAGCCTCTTCTTGAAGGTTTTCCTCATAACCCTAAAAATTGTATTTGACGACTTTTTTGGCCATCGTGTTTTTATCACTATGTTTTTTACTTTTCTTTTACTTTTTCTTTTTTTTGAGTTTTTTTTACCTGTGGTGTTACTTTTAGGGTCTCACCACATTCATTTTTTTTTTTTTTAACTCGTATTGCCTTTTTTAGGTTGTCATCACGTCCACTTTTATTTATCTTTTTTATTTTTTTTTAAAGTCTGTTATGCTAGTATATTTTGAGATACATTGCATTAGTGGGATCATCATATTTCTTGATCTTGTAAAAATTGCCTGCATGCACTTGGGTCACCATGAAGCATCCCTCCTAATTGGGTTTGAATTTTACCCAACAGTGGTGGATTTGCGTGAGTAGATAATCGTCTTGGGTACCATGTCTTCCACTCTGAATTATCGAAAACGACCTTCCTTTGATATGCACTCTCAATCCTACGATGGTAGGCCAAAATATTTTGCACTGCCTGTAGTCGTCTCTCATCTACAGTATTGAGGAAGGCTACTCGTGCTTGGCCTTTTGTTTTAGATCTAAGTCTTTATGAGCGAGCACTGGGAGGGAAAGTATTTCAACATCAATGGGTAATATGGCCTCCATATCGTAAACGAGTAGGGGTTTGTTCGAGGTTGCTATTAGATATCCTTATTCAACTTTTGCAATTATGCAGTGCCATTAACCAATGATTTACATACTAACATAATCTTCTTGTTTTGATGATTTTTCAGGACTTAGTTTTGATGAAGCAATATAATGTTAATGCTGTTAAAAACAGCCCTTGCCCCTAACATCCACGTTGGTACGAGTTGTGTGACTTATTCGGTGTGTACATGATAGACGAAGCCAATATTGAATAAAAATCTTGCATGCATCCTACTTCTTGGTCTCTAGGAAATGAATCTGGATATGGTCCTAATCATTCTGCATCATTGGGTAACAAAATCTTGGCTTTTAGGACTATCAATTTTTTGCTAACCCTTGTTCTTCATTATCATATCTGCTGATGTGTCATTTATAGGGTGGGTGCGGGGAAGGGATCCCTCCCGGCTCTTACATTATGAAGGGGGAAGATCTAGAACTTCATCCACTGACATCGTGTGCCCTATGTATATGCGTTTGGGACATTGTGAAAATTGCTAAGGATCCAACTGAAACCAGACCTTTAATTCTGGGCGAGTATGGCATTTGTTTTTTAAAATTTTCTGAAGGTTTTGATATGCTTACAGCGAGATGTGCATTCCTGATGCAAATCTCACCAATGGTTTCTCTTTTGGAAATGTCGTAGGTATTCACATGCAATGGGTAATAGTACTGGAAACATTCATGAATATTGGGAAGCCATTGACAGTACAGAAGGGCTGCAAGGAGGGTTTATCTGGGACTGGGTTGATCAGGTGAACATATTTGCTTAAGCTTAGTTGATTGTGTGGTATCTATTTTTCTTCTTAATGGGCATATATTGAATAGCATTTTTTTTTTATGATAGATGAAAACTTTGAAAGTGCTGGATTTAATTATACGAACATTTCTCGGAAATAATACTGTATGTTGCCAAACTACGCATCAGGAAGTATAGGCCATCCCTGCTTATGAGATGATTCAATACCTCAATCTCTATTCACTTGTGCACTTACTTGAAGCAAATTCAGTGCATGTCACTTTAACAAAAAAACCTGTAATTCCTACAAGTTGGCCCTAAGTTGGCTTGCATCTGTAAGAATGTTTAGTTTGATCTGGTTATATGCTGGCAATGATCCGAAATCATCACTGGCGCATTTACTTTGTCATTGTTCTGTGTCACCTTCTTCTTTGTTTCATCGTTCCTCTCTGTTTCATTGTTTTTTATAAATTAACATGGCATCTCGATATTTAAATCTGCATATTTATACAGGTTTTACTGAAGGAGGGTGCAGATGGAACTAAGCACCGGGCATATGGCGGTGACTTTGGAGATATCCCTAATGACCTTAACTTTTGTTTAAATGGTCTTACTTGGCCAGATCGTATTCCACATCCAGCATTAAATGGTAACATGCAGATAATCAACCTCTGAAAGATATCATAATAGAACCTTAGGCAATTGGAACTATCCGATAGTCGTACCCTTGGGATATGGATATTTCCATTCATTGTTTTCCTCTTTTTGTCAGAGGTAAAATATGTCTACCAGCCAATCAAGTTCACATTCGTTGAAGATAAATTCAAGGTATACTTTAATCAGTTGATATGCTATATTCTTCTCATGACAAGCTGTTGCACTGGCATTATAAATGTCTTATATTGCAGATATTTAACTCACAATACTTTGAAACCACCGACAACATAGAGTTCAGTTGGCTTCTAGTTGGAGATGGAAAATGTTTGGGTTCTGGGGTGCTCTGTCCCTCTACTAAAACCCTGGACAGTCACGAAATTGAACTAAAATCATCACCCTGGTATTCTTTATGGGAATCATCCCCTGCAGCACACATATATCTGACAATGACTGCTAAACTTACCCAGCCCACACATTGGGTGAAGCGGGGCACGTGCTCTCTTCTAGACCAGTTAAAGGAGCACATATTCCTTCTGTATGTTTTCTTCTCAAGCATCTTTATTTATTGTCTTACCTATATTGTATGTCTGATTTCTTTCTAAATGCTTTCCAGAGAGTTCCCTCTTGATGTGTAGACCTGTTTTTCCAGGTGATTGAATTGCCTGAAAGTCCTCAATTGCTTATTGAACAACGTGATGGGGCAATCACAATTAGCAACCTGAATGAATGGCTGGTTAAAATTAATTGGAGGACAGGACCCCTTGATAGCTGGAAGGCAATTGTTTGCATAAGGTTTTTCCACACGTAACATTTGTTTTCTGAAGTGCATCTGGAGATGATATATATGTAAGGCTATACATAACTTGTATCATAGTCTCGCTAGTCTCTATTGAGGCAGCATCACCTGCAAGAATTTTTCTTTTGAAAATCTATAATGCCTCCCGTCAACTCTGATTATTAGCCAATCAGGTTAGGCTCTCTGCTGGAAGTCTCTTAGCCTTTGTCATCGCAATTTGTTGGCAGATTTGCTAACCAAAGTCCATGGCATGGACACAGCATCAACTCCTGGTCAACAAACTGATGCTTCTGGTTTCCCCACATCAGTTTGAAGGGGAGGCCTAACAAATATGGAAGTCATTGTAATTTATTGTGTTTGACTACTTGTAACACTGTTTTGTATCTTACTATATTTCTTGAGTGTTCCTATTTAGTTGTTGATCGACCAAAAGGAGCCACAAGGGTTTGTAATATGTGGCAGGTATAATACGTTAGAGGATGATGAAGCCCTGTTCCATCAAATTCATTTTGTCTCAATCTTGTGTAGTCGTTTGCTCCTCATATGAATATATGATCTTAAAACACAGAATGGATTTCAAAGTACATACGCATTTCATAGATAACAGATAACACCAGGGATGTTTTTTCATCTATTCAGTCCAAGGACACAGCAATCTGTGGATTTGTCACTTGGGCAGTAGATCTGAAGCTTTTTGACTTCTTGGAAGACGAACTTTCTATTCTTGATCTTGTTAGTTGGGTTGATTTTGGTAGTGAGCATTATCCTAAAGTAGTTTATTTAATCTTTTTCAATAGGGCCAGTGCTGGGGAGCAGATATTTCTTTATGTTTCTATTGTTACTTGATTATAGGATAATTCTAACCAGGTTATGTAGGGTCTAAGCTAAGAGTTCTAGTTGAGCCTATATATAACACTGTAATGCCCTGCCCTCAAGAGAGGAAGAAAAACTAAATGACAATATATTATTATTATGATTCCCAGTATAATTCATCTGCGTCATTTTTAGGTGAAATGCTGATTGTGTAATACAATATCCAGCTGCAAAAATGTTGTTTAAAGTGCGCTATATTTTCCATGTGTTGGTTTTCTTTCTTCTCCTCTCCCGATTTATATGCTTCTGATGTCTAAACTACTTTCATGATAGTCATCACTTGTCCTGTCTTTTACTCAAATATTAGTTGGTTGACAATTATCAGAATTTTAATATTTGAAAACTTCCAGGTTGCAAATGTGGCTTTGATATGCAAGCCTATTATGCTTCGATACTTTTGGAGAACTCCAACTGATAATGACAAAGGAGGAGGATCTGACGGTTATGCAACAAAATGGAAGATTATGCAACAAAATGGAAGTTCTTTCTTGATAACTTAAATAGTTTGTACAGAAAGTTGTTCTATGCAGAAGCTTACAAACCATGTTGCTGAAATTGTAGTAGTCCACAAAGTTATCCCCAAAGATCAGAGCTTTGTTCCCAATTCTGATAGATTTGAGAATAATGCATTCCATAATAGTATGGTTGTTTTCAAGGCGGATGTCACATACTTGATCTATGCGACTGGAGACCTGGTCGTTAAATACAATGTGTACCCACATTCTGATCTTCCGACTCTTCCTCGTATTGGTGTAGAATTCCATATAGATAAGTCTCTCGATCAAATAAAATGGTATGGAAGGGGACCAGTTGAATGTTATCCAGATAGAAAGGAAGATGCCCAGGTTGGTATATACGAGCTAAACGTTGAAAACATGCATGTGCCTTATATTGTTCCTGGTGAATGTGCTGGTCTGGTAGATGTAAGATGGGCTGCAGTTTGAGACTGTGATGGTATTGGTCTTTTTGCATCATGCTATGATAGATCTCCACCAATGCAAATGAATGTTAGCTGCTACAGCACTGAAGAGCTTGACAAGGCGACACATGAGGAAGATCTTGTTCCGGGGCATGACATTGAGTTAAGAAATCACCTTCTCTTTGTATTTATTCCAAAGCAAGAAGATACCATAATTAAATGGACTGCAAACAAGATCATAATCATTTAGGTCATTATTGTCCATTGAAATGACGGATGGATGGTGAGACCCACCATTGAGGACATCCCTTGTAGTGGTGAGTTCCATTCTCTCTCCATAATGCCATTTCCATATTCCATTGACTTATTATGTATTTTCCCTTAGTACAGAACTCTAGAAGTAACCTTTTTTGTTCTAATTTACAATCTTACCATGTTAACATCTTCCATTGAAACATAATAGTTCATATTTGACCTCTAATCGATGAATGTTCTACCAAAGTATGCCACAATCAGATGTCCCTATAAGAAGCAAAATACAAGCATAATCTGTTATTCTTTTTCTGTATCCTCTGGAAGCAGTTCCAGAAATGTACTAGGCACTTCATTCACTTCTTTAAATGTTAATCTGTTACTCTCTATGGTTTGTTGACTCTAATCTCTAAAGGCTTTTGTGATAGATAACATTCTGATAACTGAAATATTTATATGAAATGCCTCATTTGTGATTTCTTTTTATTGCGATGGGTTTACCTATTTACGATATGAATTTAACTTACTGGTGTTTCACAATGGAATGGCACCCAGGCAAGCCCTATACATCAGACTTCTCCCCTTATGGCATATAAATTTCACCTTACTTTAAATGTTAATCCTCAACTCTCTATCGCTGTTGATTCTAATCTCTCTTTAAGGTATTTGTAATAGATAACATTCTGAGAGCTAAAATATTGATATGTAATGCCTCATATGTTATTTCTTTTTATTGCGATTGCTTTACCTATTTAGAGTATGAATTTAAGTAAATTATGGGTGTTTCACTTTAAACAAGTTAAAATAGAGGATGGTTAAATTGGAGAACATGAGATGCGTATGAAAGCATGAGAAATAAGGGATGAATCGAAGATTTGTATATCACCATTCTAATGGTTAGTACGGTTGCCACTGCAACATGTTTGTCCGAGTTACTTTAGTTCTTCCTAATAATAATTGGGTTTTTAGATGTGCATTTTTACTAGAAGAATATAATCTTATTTATGCATTCATGGCTTTAGAGTTGAGAGAAAGAGAAGTTTGTGAACTGAAATTTAGGGCATGAGAACATGCAAATTCACATGCTAACGAATGGCAAGATATGCAGAGAAAAATGTATTGGAACCAGTCTCATTGGAAGGCACCTGATCAATGAAAGATCACCTTAACCATGCATGACTCAATATTTGTTTTCCCCACACGTGGATGATGCTCATGCTTGTTGACTCCTCGTATCACTATTGGACAGCCATTCAGAAGTAACCGTTTTGGACCAAGAAAAACTTCCCTTATGCCTTCTCGGTATGATTCACAGTCGACCAGCTGCTCTGATGCATCTCGAAGGATGACGATTAAAGTGTATAAATTTGGCTGCCAGAAGACATATAAGTAAATCCATTCAATTGTTAACAAGGAAGTACACTTCATGACCAAGACAAATAACAGAAGGTAATAAAAGACAATCAGAGAAAAACCAAACTTCAACTGTTGTACACCTAAAGCTGGAGTGTTGTAATCCAGATAATTACTGCCCACATGGATGGGTGATATGCACAGGGTGGACAAATCCAAGTTGGAGATAGCAGTTTTTCCTTTTTTTATGCCCCCATTGAGAAGAAGTGCTATTTCCCAAATAAATTTGCTTTCCTGTACAAATTTACCATACATTGTTACTATTTGTGCAGGACAAACACCTCATAAGGGACTGGCACATCTAAATCTGCCTTGATGTCTCATACGTGCAAGTGCAACAAGGCAAGGCCTTCAATAATATGGAAATGGACTTCTACAACCATCGCCTAGCAAGCATTTTTCCATGTTCAATATCCAATCCGGAGCTAATGCAACCAAGATTAATGCGGGATCCACATTATCCAGTTTGAGGGGGAGTGTTGAGAAGAACTATTATGTATCATGTATATATTTGTATGTGATTATAACACACTTAATCTCAGTGTTCCACGACTCGGCGAGTCCACTCCGACTCGGCTGAATAACTCGACCTCGCTCTAGTGGTGAGGTGAGTTTTGGGCAGGTTGGGTATCCAACTGCCCACCACAACAGTCCCCTAAATTTTTTTTTAAAAATCGTTAAAAATCTAAAAAAAATTAGAAACGACAAATAACATCATTATCATCACCCGAGCTTTATCCCAACTCTTTGGGGTAGGCAACACAAATTCTATTTCAGTATTCAACTCTATCAAGAGTCATACCCTTAGTTAGGTTATAAGACACGTCGTTTACACGGGACGCCCTAGCATGAGCATATAACATAGGTCTAGAATTCATAAAAAGATATGACAAAGTTTTACGTTGGCTGCCCTTCTTCCTTTATCTGGGCTTTGGACCGGCACGATTGGCTTGAGAACGGCCATGGTGGAACCAAGAAATGCAAATATATTGCTTAGAAATGATTTTGATAGTTTTTAGGATGGTTTGAGATCTTTCATATTTTTTTCCTTTTTTTAATTTTTTAAAAATATTCAAAACATAAATCAAGGTTTTCATTAGTCCATATTTTATATATCTTCTTCAGCCTTCTAATTAATTCTAGTAACTCAATACTTTTTCCCATTTTTTATTATTTTTTAAGCAATTTTTTACGCTTTTTTTTTGTTTCTTACATGGTAAAGGGTGTCTATAACTTGCCCGAGTCCACTCAAACTCGACCGATTTGCTCATCTCAGCCAAGACTTGAGTACCTCAGCTGAATCAAGTTTCGAAACATTGTGTAGCGTTCTTCTACTCTTTTCTATATTATTTTATTAAATTCATTTAATATGCTTCTAACTATGATTTGTAAATATTTGCTCTCGTGAGCCCAAGATGAATGAATAAGATTTCCACATTCCCACCATCCACCCTTTTTCTTCACATGTCAAACAGATTATTGATCGAAGCCTTACTCTATTGCATCATAAAGAATCCTTCTACACAATATGCATGCTTTTTCTTCCTCCATCTTTCAAGTATCTTTTTTTCTTTTCTTTTTTTTTTTTTTTTTTGAAGAAGGTTAACTTATCTTCCAAGTATTGTTGCACATGATTCTTCTATATCTTGAGTGGAATAACCAATCCCGAACTACAAGCCACTACCTCAGATACAGACAATGGAAAACAAAAAAATCAAGAAAGCTCCAAAGACGTACCCCAATTTTTTAAAAAGAAAATCCTTAGAGAAACCAATTCTAAAGCTTCTTACGTATAAAAATTATTGGAAATTTTTTGAAGGATAGCTTCCAATCTAACCTTAAAACAGCGACCCTCCCTTTTGCCTACGGGCGACTCTAGGCCAATTTAACCTCGACGTGGGCAAGAAAAAAACAGCATTCAGACCTCCCCATTATCTCTTTTAGTGGCTGTATCTATTTCTAGATGGGATAGGATTGGATTACAAGTAAAATTGAAGATCTTGGCCAAATGTTCGACGAACTAAAAACATGGTCTGCTTTCATACAAAATTGGGTGCAGTGACAGGTTTGACAAGCAAAGTTGGCCAGAGGCCCTCAAGAATTTTAGGGAGCTCTCAATATTCTATAAGGAACTTTTTTGAGAGGATTGGCTTTTTTGAAACCTGTTCAACCAGCCAATGCCTTAATTGTTATAAGCCTTTATAGATTTGAACAGCATTAAATACATCCATCAGTAAATAGAGATAACATCACCACAATTATCATATTATTCAAACACATGAGGTGTTGGGGAAGAATCCCTTAGTTCTCAGGGAACAATTTATGGCAGTTTTCTAGATTGACACATCGAATTACAAAAGGGAAGAAGCTGTTTCGACATTTTCTATGAAAATTTAACATATTGCTGGACACAAATCACACTCAAAGAGACGCTAGTCATGCAAAGCTAATGTAAATGAACAAGTGACCAGTGCCAATACGATAGAGAGCACTAGAGAGCCAATATCAAGGCAATTGAGACTAAAACAGCCTCCAAATAGAGTAGAACAATCAATCATAGTTATCCTCAAAAAGCACTATTTAAATTTTTCCCCTGATGTTGGATTTAATTCGCTCTCCTCAATCATTTCAAAGTAGACTTTGGTGAAAGTGGTGTTACTAATTCAATCAAGTTGGCCATGAATGTTATCATTTCTAACCACAAATATTGGGTTTTCTATTAAGGAGCAGGTCTCTTAAGGTTTCAGAATGATTTGATGCATAAATTGTGGTGTTGAATGGATGGAGGGACTGATTACATAATCAAGTCTTTATAGGAGAGGAAGCAAGGAGTTGTTCTATGTATGGATTTTGGGGGGGAGGGGATTGGGGAAGGGGAAGATGATAAGAGCAACACGCCAGTTGGATTGCAAACCAAGGAAAGTCTTAATAGCTTTTAAAGGAGATATTTCATTGATTAGATCATAGTCTCCGGGATCTCCCAAGGAGGTGGTCGCTCCAGCTCCGGAAGCTCGATCCTGCACTCCTAGACAAGGGATCTCAATTCTAGGCATTTTGTGAATTCAGGGATCTCGATCCTCAAAATTAGAGATCTAGATACCCAGTTGATGGGATCTAGATCCCCCTTATCCAAATCATGAGTCTATGAGTAACTGAAATCGAGCCTCCACCAACTTAGAATTGAGTTTCTTCTACATTGGGAGCAAGGTTCATCAGCACACTTCGAGATTAATATACAAAGGGATCGTGGATTACTTGACAGATCTTCAACACATGGAGAGAGAGAGAGAGAGAGAGAGAGAGAGAGACGACAGTAGCTAGTTGTACGTACGTACGAACGAAGTAGTAGTACGGACTACGTACCGCCGACGTACTTACGTTTTTACGTTACGAAGGTAAGTAACTAAC